TGAACAAATTGTCATGAGTCAGAAGCATCGCTCAAAATTGATGAGGCTTTAGAAAGATCTGAAGATCGGATCATTACCATTACAGGAACACAGGGCCAGATACAGAACAGTGTTTGCTGCAGAACAGTGGGAAGCAGTATTCTGGAAAGCTTTTCTAAGACTAGTGAGAACCTGAAGGAGTCCTGCGTTGGTTGTTTGTTTGCTTGCTTGCTTGCTTGTTTGTTTGTTTGTTTTCTAATCTGCGTCTGTTTAAAAAGCTAACCTTCCCCTGCTGCACAGACATTCTGCATTTGAGGTGTAGTGAAATCTTGGCTGTTCACCAGATGTAATGTTACAAACAGGGTTAGAGGGAGGACGTGCAAAAACTAACACTGAAATTTTGAAACAGCAGCAGAATGAGTGAATTTTATTTTTTGTTCATTGTTGGTGGTTTAAAAAATAATTCCCCCCATGTAATTATTGTGAACACCTTTCTTTATGATCGCCGTAACATGGGGAACCGGGGGACAGGGAGGAAAGTAATAGTCCACATGCCCCCGGCATGTTCAGAGCGCTGTGCAGAATGTAATGGTTCTTTTGTAAGAAATGTTTTACCATTTTTAAAATAAATTCAGTGAATCTGTTTTGGGTGGTCTTTTTTTCTAAGACAACTTTCAAACAATGGTTGCATTTTCTAGCACACCCCTAAACTAAACACTAAGTTTGATTTTTCAACTCCTCTGTTGGATGTAAGTGCCCTTCTTGGGTCCAGGCAAAATACACTGGCCGATTCAGTCTGGGTGGTTTCTTAATGGTTGGGAAGACATGGCTTGAGATAAATTCCCATCTCATATCCATGCTTGTTATAAGGCTGGGATTTTGTTTGTTTTTGCAAATGTTTGCCTCTGCTTTTCAACAGTTTCCCATGTTAGCTGTGCAGAACTAAGGTGGGGAGCAATACTTAAGAGTTAACCATTATGCCAAATATATATATATTTAAGTATTTGCCAGAAGCCTGATGGACAATGAGCTTTATTGATCAGAATAACACTGGGTTATGGACGTGGCTGATGCTGAGTAAATCCTGGTTATTTTTGTTAGATAAATTCTCACCTATAAACCTAAACTGTCAGCCTGTTAGTGTCTTGTTATAGTTGAAATAGATTTAAAAATATGTATATAGTTGTGTTTCTATTGTATGCACAATGAAAGAAAAAAGATGTACCATTTCTCTGTTGTGTGTTGAATCATGTAGGAAATGTTTGTGAACGACTCAGAAAAAAAAAATGTTTTAATGGAAAAAGTTCCTGTGGATTTTTGTGTAGTAGCATGGCATCTGTATTGCTAGTTCAAAATCTGCATCTAAATAAAACTTCCATGATGTTAGTTTTGATGTGTGCCCAAACTGAAAAAGGGTTGATTGATACATAAAAAGTTTATTGAAATGTTCCTCTTGTAAGGAAATACAATAATCTTAAATTTAAAAAAGAATAAATAAATAAATCTTTCTTTAAAAAAGTTTTATATTGATGGGTTTGCACTGTGGAATCTAAGAGGAGACCGCTCAGACCCACAGCATGAAAATGATTACCTGTAAATCAACACCCCTGTAAATTTGGTAGGTCTACTCCAAAACAGACACCGGGATGAAATGGGTTTTGTTGTTGTTGTTTAATTTTCTTTAATAGATAAAAGTCCTGAGAAAGAAGAAGCGGTGTTAATTCTTGAATTACTTCGCTTCAAGTTGCCTCAGACTCTGAGACCCCTTTCAGTAGCAAAATTACAGTTATGAAGTAGCAACGAAAATAAATCTATGGTTCGGGGTTCCTAAGACCATCGGAAATAAGTGTTTTCCGATGGTCGCGACCCGAAGGATCGAGGAGGAAGCCCCCCCACCCCGGCGCTTTTTTTTTTTTTTTTTTTTTTTTTGATGATGATGATGATGATCACAGTTTTAAGATGCCCGAAAACGGCTCCTACTCTTGTAGCTAAGCCACGCGTCCCTCCTCTTTCATCACACACAAGATTATGAAGCCCCCTGTTAAAGCTTTCTGCACTTCCTTTGCCGGAGGGAACTCAGCCCCAGCGTAAGTATTTGTTGGGGGCAGGGGGAACTCTTGTTTTTTCCTAGATTTTCCTCTACGACAGCAGGGGATTGGACAGCGAGGACAAAGAGGGGCGCAGTGAAAACATGGCGGCTGGAGCTGCGCCAACTCCAGGCTCAGGGCGCAGCGGCCCCGCGCTCCCCTAACTCTCCCACCTAACTTGGGTAACTTATTAATTTCTGCACATCAGGTTTTACCAGCTCAACTTAGATACTAATTGCGCTAATGAGCCGTCTGTGTGAAAACAGAGCGGCTACTGTTTTAGGATCGCTCTGTCTTGGGTTCCGGGCTGAGATGCTAACTCCGGAGTGTGGAGTTTTTGACTCTCCCGTTTCAGATACAAGCATGCTTTTTTTTTGTTTGTTTGTTTTGTTTTTTGTTTTTTGGTCGGCTCTTAACCGCTTTCCTGAGCCAGACAGGCAGACCCTCTGGCTCTGTGATAGGAAAAAGGAGACCAAAAGAGCCCAAGATAGTATATACACAGGGTTAAAGTTAAAATCCGGCTGGTAACATTCCTTAGAGAGACTTGGAAAGCTAGATCTTTTTCCTCCCATCCTCTAGTCTCCCTTAACTATCCACGGGCTCAGCTTCCCTGAGCTAGAGTATGTTTATGTTGTCATTTTAACATTTTGTTTTAGTTTCGATACAGTTGCTTTGGGTAAGAATAACTGATGTCTGTGCCTTTAAATATGTCATAAATATAAATGTTTATAAAAATACAAACATTTGAAGGTTTTTAAAGACATTTTTACCTCTACTATCTCTTTAAATACAAGCTAGTAACCAAATGGGTGTTTTTAAAGGTCCAATACAGGGCTTCTGTCCTGTTTTCTAAGTTAATAACTGCTGTCTCTACCTTAAAATGAAAAAGGGGAGATCTACCTATACGGCTATAAAAAGATATGGTATTAAATAATAAAATATGGATATGAGATTAAAAAAATTAATAAATAAAAATTATACATAAAAGATACAAATTATAAATAAGAATTTATATATAAGATTGAAGTAGACATGTTTACAAAAGGAATAACTTAGAAACCTTCATAAGTTTTTGTATAAGTTATAAAAGTCTGAGTAAGTTACTTAAAGTACATAAAAATTATGAAAAGACATAATATATATGATATTAAAGTTTCTAAGGTTTAAAATTAACCATTACCAAAAAAATTATGTATACCAAAATTATTTTAAATATATCTGGCTTTTTAAACATTACGTAATAGTTATGCATCAGACTGAGGCAACTGATGCTCAAGATGTTTCTTTTGTAGTACCTGCACTACCCTCTCTAACTATACTGGGATATCATCCACCACGCCTGTCACTGGTGACTCAGTACCAATATGTACCTCTGATCTGAGTGACCCATGAGGACTATGGCTTTGGAGTCTGGGAGGGATTCACTGTACAGATTTTCAAATATTATCAATTTATTCATCACTTGAGTTTTCCAGCCTCCAATTGCCCACAGGTTACCCCACTGGCTGGACATTTCCCAGTGTACAGTGAGAATCTGCTGCTGGGGTTTCAGAATGGAATTCCCCCCCTTGAATAGTGTGCTCCACAGCTATAAAGAACTCTGTGCCTCCGAATGGACACCTGGGGTGCTGATCAACTTCTCCTGGAGGTGCCCACCTGGTCTGGATGAAGATGACCTCCTAGGAAACCTTCATAGGCCTGCTCCTGTTATAGCAGTGGTCCTCAACCTTCCGGACGCTTTTATGCAGGTCCTCATGTTGTGGTGACCCCAACCACAAAACCATTTTCATTGCTACTTCATAACTGGAAGTTTGCTCCTGTTATAAATTGTAATGTAAATATCTGATATTCCCAGTGGTCTTAGGTGACCCTGGGAAAGGGTCATTTGACCCCCAAAGGGTTTGTGACCCACACGCTGAGAACCGCTGTGTTATAGTGTCCCCAGAGGGGAATGTTCGGCCAAACCTTTGGCTGTTAGACACAGCCCTAGACAGTGTGAGAACCTATGGGACTTTTGGAGAAGATGAACAGTTATGACATGATCATCCTTTCATATGTTATTTCATAACACTGCCCTCCATATATGTCACTGCCTGGGAGTCCCTGACCCAACAAATAAATGCACACTGCCCATTTTAATCAGTTTATAATACTAATGTGGCTTCGGCAACACAAGAATGTATAGACACAAATGCCGGGTGGCAGTGGCACACGCCTTTAATCCCAACACTCGGGAGGCAGAGGCAGGCAGATCTCTGAGAGTTCAAGGCCATCCTGGACTACAGAGTGAGTTCCAGGAAAGGTGCAAAGCTACACAGAGAAACCCTGTCTCGAAAAAAAACAAAATATATATATATATATAGACACAAACATAAGAGCTTCGTTACACACTTTAAAAGCTGTGGTATTGCACCTAGGAGATATAGTACAAGCAACACAATATCCATTAACTCTACAGTGCCCTGCTGGCTCTACACATGTCTGTGTTACTCCTTGGAGCTATAATGAATCAGAATGGAAATGGGATAGAATTAAATCACTTATGGAGAATATGGTGTCACAAGAATGTTAGTTTAGCTTTATTAACACTCGGGCAATTAGTTACTGATCTGGGCTGTGTCACCTCGCATTCAATTTCCCTTCAGCCCTGGTTAAAGATTTATTACAGGAGGTACAAGGATCTAACCCTTTTAACATCCTTCAATGTGCTTTCAGCATTATGCTCAAGCTACTTATGTTGATGATTCACTTGACAATATTAGGAGGCATTTGTTGGTGGAAGAGATATTGGGGTCTCTTAGATATGCAGACACTAGATATGCAAACATGAATTAACTCATCTCACCTTATAAAATAGGGGGAATGTTTGGGAACTTTTTATTGGCGGGCTTTGTTGAAGTCTAGTAAGTAGAGCCAAGAAGGTGGAGCTTAAAGGGCGGAGCTGACGTTGCTGGCTTTGTTTATCACAAAGCCATAGAGGGGAAAAAATGAAAGCCAGTTCTGTAAAGCCCAGAGAATGCAGACTCACAGTCTTCCTGCTGTTACTGATGAATTCAAGACTATGCTGCCCCCAGGGTGAGCTTTGGGCAGGGTGGGGATCTTCCCTGTGGGGAGGGGTACGGATTGAGTCTGAGCGCTTGGAACTAGGAAAGAGTAGAGGAAAGGGGTGGGACGGGGAGGGAGGCTTTACTAACTGAAGAATAACTGATGCGGGTGGGTGGTCTGAGTGGTGTGTTCACAGGTTGGGGAGGCTTCATTGTCAGCTGGAGGGTACGTGAGTACAGGGGTGCACTGACTACTTACTACACTGAAATCAGGAAGCCTCTGCAGGCAGGAACTGTCTGCTCTCTTCGTCCTACAGCTGCGTGGGTGGCCTTCTAGGGAGGAAGTGGGGTGTCTGCAGCTGGGGAAGGGTGTGGGGAGTCTCTGGCACAGTGACCAGAGATGGGAGAGGGATTTTAGTGTCCGCTTCCCTGCAGACACTCTCAGAGTGGTTGGTGTCGGAGTGACTGAGCGCAGAGAAAAGGCTTAATCCCTGGGGGGGCCAGGGTGGGGATGGGTAAGAGTGGGAGGGGATTGTGATGAAACTAGCAGCTGGAGTGGGAAGGGAATGAATGACCTGCCAATAAGGTGAAAGGAGCCTTGGCAGCTGTGGCACTGAACTCAGGATGGTGTTGGGGAGGGTGTGCAGGATCTGGCCTGTTTGAAGGGAGGAGCTCTGGGCTGGAGACAAAGGGCAGCTTCAAGTCACTCAGCTGAGAATCTCCTCTCCATTCCCTGGATCCCTAGATTGTTATAGAAGATTGCTCTTTTAATATTTGGAAGAATTGCTGTTGTTGTTGTTGTTGTTGTTGTTGTTGTTGTTGTTGTTGTTGTTTGTTGTTTGAGACAGAGTCCCACTCTGTATCATCTCTGGCTGTCCTGGAACTTGCTGTGTAGACCAGGCTGTCCTTGAACTCCTAGAGATCTGCCTGCCTCTGCCTCCCAGTGCTGGCATTAAAGGCAGGAGCCACTATGCCTGGCTAGAAAAATGTATTTTCTTAATGGGAAATAATTTCTCTGTGTGTGTGTGTGTGTGTGTGTGTGTGTGTGTGTGTGTGTGTGTGTGTGTGTTTCAGCATGTGAGTGTGCAGGGTATTGCACAGGACAGAAGAGCAGGGATCTTCCTCTATTGTCCTGAGACAGGATCTCTCACTGATGGTTTGAGCGGGCTGGCCAATGAGTTTACAGGACTGCCTGTCTCTGCTCTTCAAAGCTGGGGTTACAGGTGTGTACAGCCAGGCTCTGCTTTTTATGTGGGTGCTGGAGAATGAAACTCAGTATCTAGTGTTTGCAGAGCGAGCACTCTTACCCCCTGGGCCATCTCTGGTTCCTCGTTTTTGACAGTGCCCCCACCATGTAGCCCAGGATGCCTTGAAATTTGTCAGGCTCCTGGCCCAGCTAGGGTTAGGACATGCACTACCACACTCAGTGTGTGTCTTTGGTTTTTCAAGACAGGGTTTCTCTGTGTAGCCCTGGCTGTTCTGAAACTCACTTTGTAGACCCCTCTGGCCTTGAACTCACAGAAATCTACCTGCCTCTGCCTCCTGAGTGCTGGGATTAAAGGTGTGTGCCACTATGCCCCACAGTAAGCTAATTTCTTAATCACCTGAAGGACCTGCTGACATTTTCCCTTTCTTTCTATGTCAGTTTTTATAAGATTATTTTGCTCTGGAGATGTTGGAGGCATTCCCCATCAGAGTGGTGCATGGACTACATCTGATGAACTGTGTGAACTTAACATTGTCGCTCAGTCCATAAGGCACATGGTAAAGCCGCTGAAAGAACATTTGAACTAGATACAGAAATATTTCTGTCTAATCTACTCCAGATCCCATCGTGAGTCCTAATTCTCAGACATTATACATTTCTTCAGTAGAATTTCCATCTCATATACTACTTAGCTCTTACACTGTGGTCATGGGAGCTGGACCTACCGCTTCACACATGCTAGGAACGGGCTCTCCCACTTAGCTCCAGCCTCAGTTGCCCAAATCTTAATTCTTCTTTGTAACAGGGTCCTGTGCTGTTGTTCCCTTTGGGGGATAGGGTCAAGTAGGTGCAGAGTCAAAGACACAGACTCTGGGAGAATGTTGAAACAACAAGCTCAGTTTATTCAGGAAGAGGCAAGCCTCATTTACCCTCCACTCAACCCCAGGGGAGGTCTGATGACTGTGCATCTGCTGATGTGACATGGCTGCCTCTCATTGGTCCAGGTCATCTCTATATCATGTCTCAGCTGCTGTTGCTAAGGCCCTTAGGCAGACCCAGGTAGGCTCTCAGAAAGTATCTTTTTTACTTGTTTGGGCCGGCTGGCCCTCAAGCCCGTTAGAGATGAGTCATTCCATACTTTTTGTCAATTCTCTGGTGAAATCCTTTATTCTTTCATATATTTTGTATGTTTTTCTAATATTTCCTTAACATATATGAAACATGTAGTTTAATTTTTCTAATATCAGAATGTGCCACCATTGTCTGGAATTTCCCTCTGTCTTTTCTATGGTTCAGACCAGTGTCACCCAAAGATGTTGCAAGCCTGGTCCAGTCTGCGGCACTATTGAGACCTTCTTTGGCACTGAGTTCAATGAAAGGAAGCTGAGTCATGGGATAGAGCCTTAAAGAGGAGAGTGGGACCTGTCTTAGTCAGGGCTTCTATGGCTATGAAGAGACACCGTGACCAGAACACTCTTAGAAAAGAAGACTGGGCTTGTTTACAGGTTCAGAGATTTAGTCTATTGTCATCATGGCAGGAGTATGGTGGCATGCAGGCAGATGTGGTGCTGGAGAGGTAACTGAGAGACAGGCAGGCAGCAGGAAGAGAGAGTGACACTGGGCCTGGCTTGAGCATCTGAAACCTCAAAGCCCACCCCCAGAGACACTTCCCTCAACAAGGCCACGCCTACTCATTATGCCACTCGCTGTGAGCCTAGGGGGGGGACATTTTCATTCTAACCACCACAGACCCCCGAGTGCTCTTCCTTCTCATTTGCACTTTCTGTCGTGAAGAGGGCAGCTTCCTCCGCCATGAGCTCCCAGCATGCCTTCTGCCTTGCGACAGACCCCAAAGCAATGGGGCAGACTAAACCAAAACCTCCAGATAGAACCAAATAAATCTCTATTCTTTCCTTCTTTCTTTTTCCTTTCGGAGACAGGTCTCCTCTAGCCATGGCTAACCTGGAACTCACAGAGATCCGCCTGCCTCTGCTTCCTGAGTGCTGGGATTAAAGGTGTACGCCACCACACCTGACTCAAAAATCTCTATTCTTATTACACTGATTATGTCAAGTATTTTGAGTAACAGACTAACAAACTTCTTGGGCCTGTGAGATGGCCCATCAGGTCAAGCAAGCCTGGCCACCCTACTGCAACCTCCAGAATCCATGCAAAGATGGAAAGCCACAGCCTTCCATTTTGACACTTTGTTTATGTGTGTGTGTGAGTGTATGTGTGAGTATATGACATATGTGTGTAGATGCCTGTGGAGGCCAGAAGGGGGAGTCAGGTCCCATGGAGCTGGAGTTCCAGGAGGTTGTGAGTCACCTGATGTGGATGCTAAGAACCAAACTCTGGTCTTCTGCAAGAGCAGCAGGCACCTCTAACCACTGGGACATCTCTTCAGACCCTCCATAACCCTCTTGATTACCAGCCATGGAGTAGTGCTCTTTCGTGTGACTACGTGTTTCTACTGAATCCTAGACGCTGCATAAACCACTTTTAGATTCTGTAGTGATGTCTACTGTGGGTTTTCTCACATCTTCTCTTTAGCACTTGATACGAAGGCTGACCACCTCTGTGACTCAGGATGGAGCCCCTTCCACTGATTACTTTCTAGACCTTTTCATTTAGCATACGCTTTAAGCTGTCTTCTTTAGGGAAAATTTTAAGAGTGAACAAAAAAAGCATTATCTTTTAAAGTGTAAAAGTGTTAAAAATTCAAAGTTAGTATCTTAGGGTTTTATTGCTATGAAGAGAAACCATGACCACAGCAACTCTTATAGAAACCTTAACTAAGACACCCACCCACCCCTTTTTCCAAGACAGGGTTTCTCCCCCTCCCCCCCCCATCTTTTCAATTTGTTATTTAAGTATTTGATGGTGTCATTCCACAACAGCTTGACTCTGTGAATGGCAAGGGATTTTAGCAACATGATTAATATTCCATAAATTGAAAAATTCTTTGAAGCCCTTCCTGGGAAAAGCAGGATCCTTACCAGTTTTTTTAGCTGTAATGGGAGTCCTAGAAAGAACATGCATAGAGAGCTATTTCACAAAGTCAAGTTACAGATAGGACACAATGGTATTTTTCTGGGGCTCCCAAGGTCCCACTCAAGTCAGGTGCTGTCCTCTGTAGCTAACTAGTTATGTCGAGGCATTGTGCAAGCCTAGAGGGTATTTTTTGCTTTTGTTGTTGTTGTTGTTGTTTGTTTGTTTGTTTTTTGTTTTTCGAGACAGGGTTTCTTTGTGTAGCTTTGTGCCTTTCCTGGGACTCACTTGGTAGTCCAGGCTGGCCTCGAACTCACAGAGATCCGCCTGGCTCTGCCTCCCGAGTGCTTTATTTTTTGAGCTGAAATTCCCTGAGTCCTCACCCAAAAGGGTCTCAACTGAACTGCTTTAGTTCCTGTTTCCTGTTCCTGTTTTGAGGGTATTTTTGAGCCCAGGTCTCTGCATAGCTGACAGCGGAAAAGGCCGCAGACACTGGCAGCTGTAGTGCCAGATGTCAAGCTAATTTGAGAACCTTCCACTAGTAATTATGCACTGCAATCTTAGAATATTGTGTAAAATAATGTCTTCAGTACAGCATGGGCTCTAACTTCCTCTAACTTCTGCCCTTGCCAGATCTGATCATTTATCAGACCAAGGACATGTACAAAACTAAAAAAAAAAAAAAAACCTACTTAGTTAACAATGGTCATTAGTTTTTAAAGATTTAAACTTAAAAGCTTATTAATTTAAGCTTTGGGGTTTTTTTAAAACATAGAACAATTTTAATCCGACTTGAGAAGACTCTTCTCCTACCAGGTAACGGGATATTTAGA